AACAAGAATGTATCGCTATTTTCGTATCTGTGAAAACATTGTTTGTCATATAGAAATACATATAGAATTTATAGCAGTAATGTTCTAGCAATAGCTTCTGAAAAATTTAGGTACCATTGCTAAATGTTATTCATTGCATGATCTAACACGTGATTGATCTTATATAGATAGGCGCTTTAGAGAAACTTTCTTTTTAAAGTTCACAAACAATACAGATATATATTCTGTTTCTGTCATCTAAACTGATTAAGTAATTACATATGCAATATCACAACAGTTGCTAATCATTTATCTGTTTTAGTTAATTTTTACACCTAGAAAATTTTAGCTATTATTGCAAGATCATTTTTTTGAGTGTAAGATAAAAGTGATATTTTAGAAAACCGATAGCGATGAATACGATCACACTTCGAACTTCGCGTGCCTTGACGTCTACGTCGAATTTCAATATCTCTCGATGCGGTCGAAATAAAAGTATGTATGCAACAATGCAGGTCGCTATTTTTCCCTCTTTGTGCGGCATTCATATGCGAAGTCACATGCAACGTCGTGTGTGCATTGATAAGCAACGGTTTGACGAAAACGTCGCGGGTTTAAAGGTAAAGCTTCTAAGCGAATGCACACCTACTTTATATGTAGGTTCTCGTGTAACAGTGCGAAATATAACACCGAACCGACGGAGGCGAGCTTTCTCGTGTAGTTTCTTCCGGCATTTCAGGTCTTTCTGCTACAGCTACTAAAAAGTTTGTTACCTTTTTAGGAGGGGGGAGGGGGGGGGAGTATTGTCTTCAGTCGGCGAAGGAGTGAAACGCCGGACTAAAGAGGGGCTTTCGCGCGAGCCGGCGAGATAAGGCGAGGGCTGGAAAATGGGCGTCGCTACGACATACGACGGAATAGATGCCGATAAGAGCAATCCTGAGGGGTGCGTTTCCACACAGCCCGACCTAAGTGTCGACGACGAGAATGTACGATAAAGATCGTACGAGGGGTAAAGGCCGGCGCGTGATATTATTAGTCCGCGTTACTCGCGGAAATGACATGTCCGTAACGCACGTATCGCATTATACCTTAAAACGTTATTCTCGCAGATAACGCACACAAGATACCAAAAAAAAAAGGTGGGGGGAGATATTTGACGTTAAGCACATGCGCGATAAACGCAATGTTTGGCGGTGTACGTCAATTTGCTGCAAGATCTAATTCGCCCGCAATATAGCACGTCGATGCAAATTTCCGCACGAGAAAGAGAACTTTACGTGAGCCAATAAATCTACTCCTGCCTTTTCGCTGCTCCTATTACGGCGGTACACGTCCCATAGAACGATATCACCGTCTGATAACCGGAACCGAGCCGAGATTCGCATCTGCGAATAATGCAAGCTCCTCCGAAATACCATTGTCATGATTTACCGCGCCAAACCAGAAGATAATCAACAATTCCGATCCTCGGCCATTAGTCGATCTTTATCGCGCGCAAATTTACCCGGGATTCGCACGCATTCTTGTCGCTGTTTGGAATTTCGAGCAAATATCGCTCTAGCGAGCCGACTTTCACAAAAAAAAAAATTCAGTGCAGCGAGAGATAATTTCAAAATCTCGCCGATTTCATTCGCCTTTCACACAATCGATGCTAGCGCGCCGAAAATTTCACGTATATCATTCTTAATTGTTACATTTCATCACGCGTGTCCGATCTATTTATTTTTTTCGGATGCACTATCTGCATAATGCACGACGTGATCCATTAGAAAAAATCGTAGCTCCGCATTAAATTACATTCGTCATCTCTCGCGACACACCGCGCCGCGATACATTTCATTGACAGCGACACCAATCTACACTTTCACGATGAATGCGCTCAAGCAGCCACGCTTCATCAATCACGAGGAAAGTTCGCTGTCTCTGGCAGAGCTGATTTTCATTAAATTGATATACCGATTCCCCGTATCTCCGGCAAGCCTCTCCGCTATTCCCTCGCAAATGTTTCGCGGGCATTGTGAGAAGTTAAACGAGTCATATTTAGCTCGCGAGCAGCGGTACACATGAATATAACATCGAGAAATTTCGTCGGGAAAATGTTTTCCAGAGAGGGTAAGATTTCGAAGATATTTCCCGCAGACCACCTGCATTATATATTAAAGATCAAATTCTGTTTCTCTCGCTGTCCAATAACTGTTCGCGTAATAGGCGCTGAAAAGTGGCAAGCGCAGCGCGATATTGATAAGATCATCGGGCGGTGAATTCCACGTCGAAAGAGGGAAAGAGATGGGAGAAAGAAATTTCCGGGAAACGGACGAGGAACGAGTTCGGAAGGAATAAGCGAGACGATAACAGGTGAAAGAGAGAGAGAGAGAGAGAGACAGGGTTCGCGTCTCGGAAATACTATATAAACAGGGTTGTATTGTAGACTAACAGCATTGTCCGCAAGCGTGCAAGACTAGGCACCGAGATCCAGTCTGATTTCGCGAGACAAAGCCTCCGCGACGAGGCTGCCAACAGGGGAATGAACAATTATACACGCGTCGTCTGCCCCGTTTCGTCTGCTAAGAAGCCTTAATTAACGCGGGCTTTCGGCGAGCGTCTCCGCGCATATATCTCGCAAATGCATCCTCCTTTTTTCCTCTCGCCGCGCCGCGATAATCCTTTAATGCGTTCGCGATAGATTACCCGCGCGATAGATTGCACGGAGCGCGATGCAATCGGAATAATTGGGATGTCGTTGAAACTAAAGCCCGCACAAGCCCGAAGAGATAATTGCGATAATAGAGAGGGAAGCCAACTTCCAAAATACTTCCCCTTTTGGAACTTTGTAATCAAATCAGACGTTTCATCCGCGGCTTCCATCCGCTTTGACGTCGCTGTCGCATCGATGGATCCTGGATTCTCGCCGTATCACGGCGAAGAAGTGATTTCGCGGTGGCGGAATAGCAGCACGCGTTGTGCGCCCTGCATTATGGAGGTCATCCGGCCATCCGAGAATGTCAGGGCGTTACATAAAGGCCGTTGCCAGGCGCACTGGCGGACGATGGAGAAAATCAACCCGGCGCGCGGTGGCGCGGAGGCGCCCTGCGCCTCCTTCGTCGCGCGCCAGGCCGGAAAAGGTCAAATGTGAGGGAAAGACGCGCACTCTTGGCATTCGACAGCATTATCAACGAACCGTTGGCAACGGCCTCCTTCGAATACCAAAGGGAAAAAAGCGCGAAATCCGAAACTAACATTTGGCAAACAGTTTCTCGATCGTCGAATATTTATATGCCCCTTAAAAACGTTTCGATAGCGGCGAAAAGAATATTAGAAAGATCGAATTCCGCAACAAACGATTGAATTCCTTTAGTAAAGCTGAAAACTTTTTATAACGAATAAAATCGCATCTTCATAAATGTCAATATTTACACATATTGAAAAAAAAAAAAACATTCTTCGTCGTTTTAGAAATAAATCTGTTCAATAACTTAATGGCAAACTGATAAGCGGAATCGACATGGCGCGATGTAATCAAGTGACGAACTGGTTTATTGCTCTCGGAAAAATCTTCATTTTTCCCACAAACTTTGCTACTAAGATTGTTATTAGTGATTACACCAACTAAAGTAACGGATCTGAGTAACAATCGAAGTTTTTACGTGACAGCGATAAATAGCACACATTTAACAAAGTATGCCATCGAAGTGTTTTATAGTGTCGCTCCCTTCCGACAGCTGAAACAGCTCCCTCGGAGCTTCGGTCCGAGCTTTCGCATCCCTTTCCCTTTCGATAACTACGTAAGTACACATAAAAATAGCTAGTAACCTCTTCAGGTAAAGGGCTCCTGGGGGAGCAGCGTTAGAAGCACGTGCCGTGAATTTTGGATACGATTCTGGGCGCGTACCTCTGTCGCCTCTCCATCTCTCCTCCCGTCCCTCCCCCCCGCCGCGCCACCTCGGCACGAACATTGCCAATATTCGACGTCCTAAATCCACCTTTCGACCTTTTCGCCCACTCGACCAAGACCGTGTTGTCTCTCAAAATCTATATGTAACATTTACAGATCCGATATTCGCGATGTATATGCGTGTGGCGATAAAGCAAAATTCGATTCTCTTCGAGGATTATCGAGTCGAAATGAAACGGTCGATTTATGCTATCGCTCGCGACACGAGTAATACTTCAGTATTACGATAATGTACGCGCGCGTATCGCGCACGGTCTCGGATAAAAAGGCGCGGAAATATTATCGGCGACGTGCGAAAGAGTCTTTTTTTCGACGAATTAAGCCTCGGGAGTGCAACTGCGGATACCTTAACACCGTCATATTGTAAGACTTCCCCGTCGTTACTTTTTATCACAAATGGGAAAAGCTTAATACGACAGAGCTGCGAATTTCCCGCGAGGAGAGCCGAAACTCTTTTACGACGCATCGACACGGCGCAACAAAGTTTTCCGCATTAGCACGACATCGCATAAAACAAGAAAAAATATTTTCCAGGTACCGCTGGGACTCATTTTGGATAAGTTTCATACTAGTTGGACGTAGCTCTCGGAGGATTTCAAAAATTACTTACCAACAAGTCCGGCGAGGTAGACTAATTCTCCAGGAAGTTCGTGACCTGAAAAAAGAACGATCCCACTTAATACATTTTCGCCCGCATCTTAATTTTATTTTATAAGGTTAAAACTCTCTCTTGCATCTAAAAGAACGCGGGGAATAGATTAATGCGCACTGCATCGCGTATTTTAAAATCCTTCGCTCTTGACGCATATCTTAGAACTTGCGGCAGAGTACAGCAATCCCAATGGGATTTGCAGGTAATATGCTTTCCACTGCAAGTTTTTATCACTTTTAATCCATAAATACAACAAATAAAAAGATTAAATCTATTATACATTTACAATTCCTATATAAAAATATTAGGATTTATAAGCCAAAAAAAGATTGTGTAGCATTTTTCGATTTTCCATATATTCACGTAAAGAATGAAAATTAACACTAATACTAACTAAACTCTGATGAAAAAATAACTAATAAAAGTTCTAAATATTGAGTTATAATTTTCCAATAGAAAGTATTATTGTTTTTTACGCAACACGTTTAAAACATCGTTTCACTTGATTGCAAAAGAATATTTAATTTACGTGTTAATAAGAAAAAAGAATATGAATTAATTTTAAAAAACTCGAAAGTTCTTACCACGCAACCCACTAATTTACGAAACAATTTTTTCATCCCCGTCTATTTATAATCAAATCGATTGCGAATTGTACGCGCGAAAGATCAATTTTCGATGACGTATGCTCGGAACTTTGGAAAGCCACAAATTCCGGTTAGAAACCCGATCGTATGAATGGCTCGTAACAATTTCAGCCAGCCCGGAGGAATTATATCTGCTATGGTTACACCGTAGTTACAGAACCAGATACAGTAATGAGCGGTTTCTCACTTTGCGGGGCAACGTGGGCCGCGGGAGGGCTAAAGATTAATTCCACGTCAGGCACAAATCCGGCACGTGGCATAAATCTTGGGCGCGAGCCCGTGAACGCGCTCCTCTTAAGGAGCGCGGCGCACACGGGCGTTTGTTCGGTTCGCCTCGGCTTACCTCCGCATTACACCGAGCATCGGTTCCGTTGCGTACTTCATCGTCTGCTTTCGTCCCGTTCGCGTAATCTCCGCTGACATTTCTCACTCGCGTATTTATATATATTACGCCGGGGAGTTTAATAATAAATGGGCGATTACGCGATAACACGGGGAGGGGAGAGATCGCGAATAAACGCGTAAAAAGGAAAAATGTTCGTTAAAACCCGGCAATTATGCATCGCCGAGTTTTAATCTGCTTCATTGGTTTTACACTCCTTCTTGAAATCCGCAGACAACTGGTATTCCCTCTCTCGATCTGCTCCGGTCGTCAAGATAACATAACGGGAACGGGAGGAGGCAAAAAAAAGAAAAGTACGAAGCAAAACCGAATCGATGCAGCAGCCGGAGCGGCCATTTAGTAACTTTAGTAATTTATAAAGCAACTTTTTCGTTTAAGACCAAAGTAAACTGAAACTACAGCGAACCGAACGGAGATGCAATACATCGCGCCTGTTTTAGTTCGTAACACATTATGCAGCGGCCAGCGATCAAGATCGATAGTCGCAATTAAACGATGACTCGTCCCCCCCCCCCCCGCCTCGCTCAAGAGACGAATAAAAAGCACGGCCGCAACTTTCTACATTGTCGCCGATGTATAATGCCGGGGGCGATAAAGAGCGCGCATAAAATGCCCGGCATCGAATAAATCACGTTTGCTGCATCCGCGTCTTTTGTATATACTCGCGTACGCGCGCACCGTCCGCTGGAACAGCAGCTGTATTTGCTTTCATTGAATGTGCCGGTAAACGAATGCCGTTCCGCCGTGACGCGCGCGAGAAAAAGTTTGCCGGCGATTAACCAACTTTCCTCAGTTCATCGCGAGAAATTCCCGTGTCGACCCAATCATCGAGGATAATTATTGTTAATTTTATTGGCATTTAATTTTCAAATATTCACCTATCAATCCCGATGTGTTATTCTTGTTTAATTTCGCGGTTAATTTTGATTGTGATAAGAGCGCTAATTTTGAGTATTCCGAAGATTCTGAACTGGTGTGAAGCAAGAAAACTGTGCGTTCGCGAAAGAACACTTCCGAATGTATTTATGACGCAACAATGGAGTGACGCGCGGTAGGCCAAAAGTTGCAGAATCCATCCCTTCCGTTTTGCAAACGACTGCGTACGTACGGTGCCTTAGGGACTTTTCGTGTTTCTTCCAAACTACTCGCATAAAGATGCTATTATCAAAACGTCCAGCGTCTAGACGGAAAACTCCTTCGAGAGAAGAGGCGCGTTCGATACGCTCCGTCGACTCTGCCTGTCGTTTCTTACAGCAGAGAAACACAAGTCGACACAGGGCGAAAAAAAAAAAAACGACAACGAGATTAGCGTATCCATAAAAATTGATGCAAATTATTAGCGGAGTTGGTGATAAAGAGGATAATTTCAAGAAGGTTCTTCGCAACTTTGCGCCTACAGCTTAATTGAGCGCGCAAAAAAGCGATATCGATAGGACATTGTTTTCGCGAACGCGGCATTTTATTTTACGCCGCGCGATGATTATGTGACGAGAAAATTTTGCATACTGATGCATATTCATCCGCTACTTAACTTTGGCGACGAGTTCGCGGTATTAAATAAAAATGCGATTTGTGCCGCAACTGCAATTTTGGGGCTATTTGCCGCGGGTGTGATTCGATTAGCAAATGCAAATTGCATTTCACGCACGCTTATTCCCCGTACAAGCGTCCAAACGCAGATTACCGAAACACTAATTGTAACGCTGATAAAAAAAAGAGGTTGGTCGGATTCGTCAATTATTCGCACCGCACCGAGGAAATTGAGTTTCTAAATTCTTAATGTTATATAATCATAATATATCGGTCGTAATGCAATGTGCATTTGTAACATTTGCTTAATCGAATGTTATTTCGAGAGAGAAGAGCAGCATATTGTTTCCTGCTGCGAGCCTAATAATGCTGCGCGATGAAAGAGAAGAGCAGTGTACGCTCTTATTTAATTGAAACAAACGCGCATCGGAAATCGACGTCGTTCATTATTTAAAATATTTAGCAACTGCGAAAGTACCGTAATTACGCAGAAAGCAAATGGAATCTGGCGGCCGGTGATCCCAGAGCCGATCGCGTCACACAATCATACTGCGAGCAAAATAGAATTTCTGGCATTTTCGCGTCGCCGGTTGCCCGGGCGACTGGACTTTTCTCCAATGCCGACGGAATTAACTGCCGTTAACTGCAGTCAAATACGAGATCTGTATAAAGTGCGAAAACGAAGTGGCAATTACATTCCGTCGAGCGGAAATGCTTCGTCGGCCTAGTCCCGTCATCGATCGTCATCAGAGGTGGTTTCCAAGGTGGAACTTCATTTTTAGAATTTAACCCTCCGAACAGGAACGTCAAGGTTTCGATTCTGGTACAGAATTTCCTTTCCTCTCGCATGAAAACTCTGTCCAAATTGACCGTTTTTCGTTTCGCGACATCCCATATAAACGTCGGAGCCTCGCCGCGAGCACGTGACGGTGTTTTCATAAAATTTAATCTGGACCGCGCGGCGGGACTTAATATCGGCCGTGCCACGCCGATCCTTACAAATGTATTCGAGTATCCGGCAATCGATCCGCTCTCGAGAGATGCTCACCCTCGACGGCGGGCTTAGTTGATTGAAAGCCAGATTAAAGTTTTTCGCGGATTCCATTCTCGTGGATATGAAACGGCTAAAAGTTCATTTCGCCTCTCGCGAACCGCCGTGCGCCGGATCTGGATTAAACATCCGGGGGTTATCGGATTCAATCGGAAAAATGTGTACATTTGCATTCGTGATGAGAATACAGATTCGGGGCGTGTCTCTCTCTCTTCTGCCCGTGTCGCGCCCGCGCGTAACTTTCGAAATAAGTTATTTAAATGCATAAATGTGCATGCGTGCTCATGGCTCTCCGCAAATAAAGCGTAACTGAGCAGCATTATTTGCAGTAGCAATATTTGCGATAAGGGAAATATGTAGGCGCGCGCGTGTTTTTATTACACGCTTTCAATGTAATTCTTCCCATTAAAATTTTAATTAAGAGTTTTTTTTAAATGAAAACATCGCAGCAGATTATTTCTACGAATTAATGCACTGCCCTATTATTTATCCATGTCTCCGATCTATGTCCGCCTTAATTTATAAACGGAGGCTCTCCCACTCGATGATTTATAACCAGAAACTTATTAGTTTCCTGATATTCTCGCTAAAGATAAATCGATTTCGAGCTTGCAACGATGAATGTTATCCATCCACTTTCCGTCAATTTCAGAACGCTCCGTGTAGAACGAAACGAAGCCCAAGCCCTGACGCTCACAACATCATCGTAATACGACTATGATCGAGCGTGTTGCGAACACATGGTGCTACAGCAGCATGATACCAAGAGCCAGCGACACATACACGGCCCGGCTCTATAATGACGCTCGTCGCACGCGAAAAGCGTGTACACACATTTCCGCGATGCATGCGTGCGCGCGAGTGTCGGTTCGTTGAGGACATCGGAGAGCCCGAGACATCCGGTACAATACCCTCTTGTCGCCGCTTATAATGGGCCGCTGGTTCCTCGCATTGTTCCAAGGTTGCATTATATGCGCTTAAATTACCACGGCGACGCGACGTTTCCAAATGCGGAAATCTCGCAAGATGGATACATTTCTTGCGCGTATCCTAAATACGTTTATTTACTTAAAAAAAAAATTGTGCTTCATTAACAAGCGATTAAAGGACGCGCAGAAAGGCGAGTCGCGGGAGAAAACTTTTCTACGATTAAAAAAAAAAAGATATTTATTTTCTAGTGAATTTTGCAGGGACATTTTTGACGGTGTCAATAATATCGTGCGCGCTGGATCGTTGCGGAGCGCTAAAGTTACGCACGAAATCGTGCGCAAAGTTCATTACCGCGCTTCCGGCCGCGGTTCGTAGAAGCTCGTTGGGTGATTAGTTCGTTCCGTGCCTGCATAGGGCTTTATAGTTCGCATAGCCCATAATG